TTTGGGAAGCATTGCCTTGGTCACTATAAATCACTACCACCCACAAACATTCATGTCATAGCCATAAAGATCAAAGATGAAAAAAATGGATAGAAAGGAAGTGGGAGAAAAGGAAGCTTTGATATTTTTCAAACAATTTCTTGTATCCCTCAAAACAAATTCCAATAGTCTAAACAACTTAAGAACTACTAATCTAATAATGGTTTCTTTTAAACAAAATGGTTATGTACTAATTAACTGGAATTCATGTAACCATTATTTTTAAATGCAGCAGATTTCATGCTCTGACACTAGAAATTTCATTTCAGCAGCTCTTTTTAAAATAAATAAATAAAAAGATTCAGTAACAGCCATTGCTGATACCGTTGGTCCTGCAGTCCTAAATATATGAACCATTGCTTGAAGAACTCATCGCTGGAAGAACCAAAAGCGAATGTTTTCCTTTTAGTACTGAATTTGGACTGCCACAGATTTCTCTCTACCTTTCAATCACAATATGCAGAAGTCATTAACAGCACAAAAGAAATGAGTTCTGATTCCCTTTCTTTCTTTCATTTCTATATTCTTATTTTTTGCTACACATCCTTCCATTGCTAGGTATAGCAAGCAAGCAGCACCAGCAGCAGTAAATAATGGAAAAATTACGATCATTTATCTGCTTAGTTGCATTCAATTTACCTATAGATAAGATATTTTTATAACAATAACTGTTCATAAATTGTTAATAACAATAACTATTTATGAACAATAACACAGCTGCATAATTTAAACAATAAAATTCTCTAAAATGCTCATGTCTCTACAACTCTCCTAATGGACTAAATGCTTTTGTTCTGTCTTATCTTTATCTAAAGAAATATAATTCTTAAGAGTTTAATCCAGCCGCAGAAATACTTGAAATATCTCTTGATAGGTCAAGTTTTTCATTTCCCCATCTTTTTAAAGTCTATTTGTTTATCTTCATTCCAACATAAAATTCTATGTTTTTTTTTTTAAATATTATTCAGATGTAGAACTCTTGTCATCTCGCTGGAACACAAAGTTTTCAAGTATGTTACAGAACTGGTCAAGTTGTGCAAAGAATAACTTAATATTGGATATTTTTCATCTCCAGTTGGAGTCAGTGTTTGCACACACAAAAACACAAGCACATACACAGCAATATGGACAGTGGGAGTAAACAGGCATAAAAAGAAGTCATTTGTGATGTTGCTTTCTTTCTGCACTGCAAACTCTAAAACAGAATTTGGAAAGTTTTGGTTGAGATGCATCCTGTGAGTGCTTCCCAACTGGCCCATAGCATTTTGGCAGACGTCTTTCCTCTCCATACTACAGTCTCTCAACCAGAAATCACTCTGAAGAAGAGGAATTAATAAGCAATGATTCTTTGTCACATCCCACATGGACCATTCTATTCCTTTCAGAAGGAAGTAGGATGAAGCATTCCCCTGTACAGGAAAATATGCTTCGTGGAAGAAGAGAAAGGGGAATAATAATTTGCCTTTTTCTGGGCAGGAGAAAGTACAGAACAATTATTCCCTTTCTCTTAGTGCACAGAGAAAGTCCACTGTATCTGAGTGGAAATGGGACAGTTTTCTAATCATGACAAGATACTAAGCGCAGAATATATTGTGTACAGAACATATAAAAGATGGTGTTCAACATGCCCAGAAGGTTCACACAGACATCAGAAGTTAGAAAAAACCCACTGCTTATTAGAAAGGAAACACTGAAATTAGAGAAGCTTTCAGGGAGATGCAAGGTTCCAGTTAACTTTCTAAGGTAGATTTGATAGAACAACACTTAGAAGACAAAACAGAAGAGACAGATTTACTAATGAATAAAATTTCCACTTAAAATATGATTGTGCACCGGATGTTACTAGATACTATTAGTCTAGATGGACCCTGGTATAAGATGAGCTGACTAAGGCAACTTATTTTGCTGACTATAGCAGTGTTTGCTTCAACTTCGTAGGGCAGCATGGATAAGACATGGATTTGTGATGGGAGAAGGAAAAAAAAAAAGAAAGCCATTATCATGTCTATAACTGGACTTTTTTTATTTTGCTTAAATATGTTTTACTTGTCATCCAAGAAGCTTCTTCTATTCAGTTCAGTTCAGTTCAGTTCAGCTTCTGTTCAGCTGAAGAAGCTTCTTGGGTGAGAAGCGAAACATCTTCAAGCAAAACAAAGAGATTCCAGTTGCCTTTTGAAAAAGTAGCTTTGGGGAAGCCTCCATCATTTAGCTAGCAAACAAATAAATTCCTTTTTCATTGCAGAGAAATTAAACCTAGGTTTTCATAAAAAATCATGCCTATACAATATAAATGGGTTGTAGTTTTTCATAATAATATAGGTTGTGAGGAAACCACTAAAATACTTTCTGTTATCTTTCTTTACAGCCTGTCAATTAAAGATTACAGAACGAATAAAGGACAGCAAATCTCAATCATTCCACTGATTCTGTTTTTAATTGTAAATTATTCTATCCTAATTTCTAGCAATCCTTTAGCCACACAATGAGGGGAAAAAACCCTGACTCTTGATACTTTATCACCATTATAAATCTTCAGGTTAATGCTACCTATATTCAAACTGAATATTCAAAATGAAAAATTTTGCATTTCATTGTTTGAGGACTCTATGCTGTTTACCTTGTTAATGGGAACCGCATTTTGAATGTATATATATTGGATAGCTTCCTACTAAAACAGACATCAGTTACTCTATCTTTGCAGGAAGTCAAGGAATGTCTTTTCATTTAGTGAATGGGTTTGAGATCAACTGACTGGGAAACGATCCAAAAATGAAGCAGTTGATGGATGCAATACCTCTTCCAGAGAAATACACTGGGAAATGTTTGCTCCACAACAGACTTTAAAACACATCTAAGAATCTATTAGTTAGACTTTTTAATTTTTTAAAAAGTGAGGATCTTATCAGTCACACATCCCATATCAACTTCTGAAAGATGTCTGTTAAGAACAGAACGGATACCTTTGGAGCCCTGACTGATTCTAGGCTATTTAATTGTCACTGTTTTTGGTTGTTTGTTCAGAAAACTTGTGACTCAATACTGTAAGGTTATTGGCATACATATCAATCATGCAGGACTTCCACTCTCTCAAAATAAAGAAAAAGAGACATAACAGAACCATTTATAGCCTGTAAAATCAGTATCCTGCAATCATTCAGATCAACTTCCGAGAAGCCCAAATGGAGAAGACAAGAAGAGAAAAAGGAAGGTAGAAATTGAAAGTCCCTATGACAATTTGTAATTTATATGCCTATTTTGTGACCTTGAAGCAACCACCTACGGTTATTCACCTATATAAAATATGGAATTATTCTTCAAGCATTCTTTGCTACTCTCAGTTTTCTGACCACCATACTTAATAAGCTATCAAGTTACAATTTTTATTTTCTGCTTTCTTACCTCAAAGGCACTACTAAATTATAAGTAAAGGGGCAATGGAAAACGGTGCAAGATTTCTCAAAACTTTTTTTTTTTTGCTGGGGAATGAGGGATTTTGAACTCAGACTGCACCAAGTTGTAATTTAATCCACTTTTTAAAAAACTTGAAACCTATTAAAGCTACTTAGCACAGTGTTGGGCCATTGGGAAAAGCACTCATGTGGCTCTCCAGATGTTTCAGGCTATAAGACCTATTAGCACAGTTATCACCAAAGTTCATATCTTCAGGATATCTTCTGTATTAAAGAAACAGCAGAAATTATTGAGACGTCATGAGGATTAATGATCTCCTCATTCCATAAAGTCAGTGGATCACAGCTGATATTTTGTGCTATTTTAAAGGTCTTGCCTTTAAAGTGTCACAAGTCTCTTGATTGGAAGAGATGAAAATGGCCACCCTATGAAAACAACATTGTGCATACTTTTATTTCTATAATCAAACTAGCAAGAGAAGAAAAACAATCGAAAACACAATTCTCTTCTTTCTCATTTTTACAGCTGCTTCTAAGTTTTTGTGGGGAGATCTGGCCACAGGTCTCTGGAGTTACATCTGTTCTATTGCTAAAATTCTGGTTAGGAAGTAGTATTACTGGAAGAGATTGAAAGAAGTTCCATCTCACTCCATTAATAATTCCTTATGGGGAGGAAGGAATGTCCTACTCCTTGGGGAACAAGGCTTACTGGTCTTTAATTCTAAATTTACTACTTCTACACTCATCCATAATGGGAATCACTCACCCAATAGAAATAGCATCAGGTATTCTAACACCACCCCTTGTCCCCCAGTTTAAATACCACATTGAAAGCTGTGATGTCCCCAGAACTAACCTGCTGTTCCACATTGTGATTTCATTGGAGATATTGACATTTTTTGCACTTTCTTTTAAATCTTGGTGCATTTACGCTACAAACAGAAAAATGCTGAAAACAACCCTTTGGTGGTCATAATAGTAATACAATCGTCATTGTCACTTACTGCTGAAACAATGGGCCCACAGAGTACTAGAAACTTGAAACTTCAATCTTCCATTCATGCTGCCTTTATTATTACTGTCCAAGAAGTATTTCAGAACTAGACCCTCTCTAGAAGTAGCCTATCTCCAAATGGTAGAGAGATACACATCTTAAATCACCAAATAGGTTACTGATACCTTCCTGAGGAATTTATACCTATCCAAGGTTATTGATAGTTCAGCTGCAAGAAGAAGAGGAATGAAGGACATCATTACTTTGAGGGGACCCTGGGTGAGGTACCCCTATCTTCCCCGCTAACCTTCCCTTCTTGCTTGCCACCTCTCCATGATTAACCATCCAGCTGGAGCCCTGGATCCGCGCCTTGCAATCCGGTCCTCGCTGGACCCCTCTGGAACAGGGGTCTTCAACTTTGGCAACTGTTAAGACTTGTGGTCTTCAACTCCCAGAGTTCCCCAGCCAGCTGTCCACAAGTCTTCAAGTTGCCAAGGTTGGAGACCCCTGATCTGGAAAGAAACAAAGAGGCGCGCAAAACGCCGGTTGCACCTTACCTCGCTTTGTCGGTGATAATGCTTGAGGCCTTTCCCGCCCTGGCCGAAGAGTTTGCCTTTCTTGCCGCTCCCCAGAGAGAGTCCTTGGTGGAAGGGGAGCGACCGGTTGGCCGCCTGGGTCGGCGTCTCGCCCATGAGGGTGGCCTTGATGGCGTTCGCCTTCGTGCCGTCGAGCTGGGAACCCTCCACCACCAGGAGCGCGGCTAGGAAGAGGAGAGGGCGGGAGGAGAACTTAGTCCAGCTCTGCATGGTCGTCTCCTACCCTCTTCCTAGACGTCGTCCTTCCTTCCCGAGGCTAGGCTGAGCGGGCGCAGTTGCTGCAAAACCCCCGGGGTCGGCGAGCCCCTCCGGCCGTCGGAGCAGGGCGAGCAAAGGGGGGAGAGAGAGAGAGAGAAAGAGAGCGCTCCCAATCAAGGTCTCCGGGGCGGCATGGTGGGGCGCCCTCCCTCCTCCTCAGCAGGAGAGCCAGTGGCGGAGGAAGGGAAGGAGACGGAGACCTGGTGCCGGGCGGGAGGCGGTGGCTGAACCCGAGGAAGGAGCCTCCCACCCGCGAAGCTCGACCGGGTTGTCTTGGGCAGGAAAGAGTCCTGGATCCGTTCCCGCGTCCACGCCGCCTCGTTTTGCCGTGGGACAAACGCCCTTGAGCCAGGACTGGCCTGGAGAGCGACGGCTGACAGGTCGCTTCCCTAGCTCGCTGTCTAGGAATCCAGGCAGCCTTCCACCTTCCGCTGGCTGGTCCGGGGCATCCCGACAGCGGGCAGATGAAAGGCTTGGACGGAAGACCGGGCGCTCCGCTTATTAGGCTTGGAGTCCACCCTCCCGTTCCCGCTTTGGTCCTCCCGTCTCCAGAAGCCGCCTCCTCTGCTCGCCTCCTGCCCTCTTCGCTTTTATAGCTTCACCGGCGGAGTTTTCTTTTCCTCCGCCCCCCGGAGCCGCAGAGTGACGGGGCCGAGCTGACTCATTCCTTGAGCCCACTCCTCATCATCCTCCGTCCCCCTCTCGGCACCTTCGTCCCCCCCCCTCTTTGCTCCTCGATCTCTTGGAAGTTTTGCGTCTTTGCGCAGGGAGCGCCTTCCCTTAAGTTAAGGTCCTCTGGTAAACCCTGAACTAAGGATGACGGCTGAGGGTGAATACTTGTGAGGGTCTAAGTTTTTGGATCCCACTCTTGGTCTAATTAACTCAGGGTGGTTGGACTTGGTTCTCCCAGCAAATTGTCTCAACCTGCTCCAAGGGCTCTTTTTGCCCAACAAAAAGTGTGGAAAGTTTTGCACACATAGATCAGGAAGAGGAGGAAGAGAAATAGAAGGAAGCAGGCTCGCTCTCACTCTCTCTGTCACTCACACATATAACCAGAAATGTCTTGCTCAGGTTTCACTGGAACTTAAAATATTTGCTATCAGATCAAATCCCGTTGAAGTTAATAAAAAAAGCATTTGTTTCCATTTAAACTAATTTTGGAAAAGGCCAACGTACTGGTGGAATCCATTCCTAAGCGTTTGTCCATTGTCTGCAACCAAACAGACAGGATGCAACACTTAATCTGATCAAATCTGGGTGTAGTTCCTGGTGACTGCCTGGAATACCGGTAATCCCCGAAGTTTTACTGGCAAAGTTTTTCAGAAGTAGTTTGCCATTGCCTCCTTCCCAAGACCCAGACAGAGTAACTGGCCCAAGATCACTCAGCTGGCTTCATGCCTAAGATGGACTGCAACTGACTGTTTCCCAGTTTCTAGCCCAACACCTGAACCACTGCACCAAACTGGCTCTTTTAAACATAAATAAAATAGGACAAAGGGAAAAGAACATTTGCAGCAATGGGTCCAGTGGTGACCATAGAATATGTTGACTGCCATCACAATTAATTATAAGGTAGTTAGTGCAATTCAGTTGTGTATTCATTAAGAAGATCAATTTGCTATTAAGTGTACCATTGGCTAGAAAACTTTTCAGTTGCCACCTACCTTTTGTTCTGTATTGGAATATATTGTGAAGCTGGAGGAGACAGAAAAAGAATTTGGCTGACTATAAGATGATTTGCAGTAGATCAACTGTAAACTCTCAAAACTGAACAAGAATAGAACTAGGAGGAGAAAAAAAAAAGAACTGTATTGCTGGAAGTATCTTTGAATGCAGTTTTTTTAAAAAAGAAAGAATTGTGACTTCCTTGAATTCAGTTTGCAGCTCAGAATAGATTGCTGGGTTCCTAACACTTTAATTTGTAGTGATATTTGATTTGGTTCACATTAGGTTTTGGTGTGTGGAACCTGAATATTCAGGAACCGAATAATAGAAAAGTAAGAAATTATGTATATCTAAACTCTGTCCATTCTAAGGATTCTGTCAAATGTAACTGCAAATACTTGAAGAGAGGCCATGCTTTCCTTTAAAATCTTCTGTTAGAGGATCACAATTCTCCTCTAAAAGATTTTTATTAGTTCTGAAGAAGAAGTAGGAGCTTAATGGTGCTGCCACTTCTTTGCAAATTCACCCAGAAGAATCTATTCTTGGTGCCCTTTGGGTGTTCCTTCTGACAGTATGCATGTACTTAAAGATGTTCCTTTACTTTGGATTACATTCAGGTTAAGATGCTAAATTAGGTCCATCAAGTCTGTTATTAAATATTTTCCCTTCACTGTGTTCTCCATTTTTTTTCTTTTTTTTCCTTCTGTTTTGAAGGATTTTTTTTAAAGAGAAGAGTGAATGTCCTTTTCAACAAAAAACCTGAATTTACATTTGACACTTTTGTTTGTTATTGCACATTTAGTGATTCAGTGATAACTAAGCTGGACTTTAAAATGCCATAAGTCATGTCTTTACAATAATTTTATATTTATGGAATTGAAGAGAAAATGGAGGAAAGCTTTATACATGATGTATGTGGTATAGCAACCCCTCCTTAGGTTAAGTAAATAATTAATAAATACAGGTTATTGCCATCCTATACTGGACTGATCAAAATGAGCACAACAAGCACTGGTGTCTCTGGACCAGATGTGGTATTCACCAGGTTCTGACCAGTTCTGGAGAACCAGTAGTGGAAATTTTGAGCAGTTCGGAGAATTGGCAAATACCACCTCTGACTGGCCCCACCCCCATCTATTTTCTGCCTCCCGAATCCCAGCTGATCGACTGGGTCTTCTTTGGTTGCCCTGCACAAGAGATTGGAACTGGAAAGCAACTTAGTGGGGGGGGGGGGGGGGGGTGGGATTTTTTAGTAACCTTTCCCCAGGAGTGGGGAGGGAATGGAGATTTTACAGTATCCTTCCTCTGCCACGCCCACAGAACCGGTAGTAAAAAAATTTGAATCCCACCACTGTTCTGGACAGATGTTTTTTTTAGGACCTATTTCATTCACACTTAGATATAAGGGCCCACAACTCCTATCATCTCTATCTAGCAAAGTCATGGGTATGGCGATAGCCAAACATACTACAAGTTTTTAAGGCATAGATTTCATCTAGGAGGCTAGAATATTTATCCAGAATTGTGTATAACCAGATGCACTTGGACTGTATATACATGAAATAATGTTATGTTTGGAATGTTTCATAAAATCCTAGAGATGAAAGAGACTTTGGAGGGTCTTCTAGCCCAACCTCCTGCCAAGACAGGAGACCTTGTTGCATCCCAGACAAATAAGTGTCCAATCTTTTCTGGAATGCATCCATAACTCTCGGAGGTGAGTTATTCCATTGATTCATTGTTGTTACTTTTCTCTTTAGTTCCTGGCTGGATTTCTCTTTAGTGAACCATTGCTTCTTGTCCTATCCCAGGTGCTTTGGAGAATAAGTCAACCCCTTCTTGCTTGTGACTGCCCTCAAAGACAGTGATTATATCATCCCTAATCCTTTTCTTCATTAGACTACACATACCTAGTTCCTCATATATTCCTCATAGTTCATCCTTCAATTTTGATTCCTACACTCAAAGGAGTTGGAGTCAGTTCCAGGAATCTAGTAATATGAAAACTTAACTTGAAAGCTAGGTATAGTAATTCATTGGGAACATAACATTAGATTGAGAGAAAACATTAGCTCTTTTCATCCCTCATTGTAAATATTAATTTTAGCAGCATTTCAGGGCATCTGGCAGAATATTTGCAATCCTACCAATTGATGTGAGGAACTGATCTTTTACTGTATCTCATTGCATAAAATTATTGATCACACTCAATTAACAAAGAATATAATCTAGTGTTTTTTCAGGCTTAGGATTCTCTACAAGAATCTACCTTTCTTTATAGAAGAAAATCAAATGTGCACGTCTACCAATAATTAAAGATTATATAGTTCAAACAAATGTTCAAAAATATGTCTAGTAAATGTTGGAAATGTAACCAAAGACAAATTCCTTGTGTGTCCAATCAAACTTGGCCAATAAAGAATTCTATTCTATTCTATTCTATTCAAAAATTTGGCACATATTGCCATTAAAACAAAAAATTTTGGGGAAAATATGCATGTGGTTAGAAAAGATGTTAGGAAAACATGTAGATTTTAAATTGAACATTTTTAATTAGGTATAGTATCAGAAAAATTTGATAAACAAAGTATATATTTAATATTGCATGTATTAACAGCAGTGAGTATTGTATTTTCTCAGCATTGGAAAAATGAAGAAATACAACTAGATGAAGAGATAATTAAGAAGATATTGGACTGTACAGAAATGGACAGACTTACACTGAAGATCAAACAGAAAGAAGATACAGAATACTATCAAACATGGAATTTATTTTATCAATAGCTGGAAAAAGGGGGTAAAGATTAGGAATATAATTTGTATTGCTAAGCAAACAAAATAACCCAGACAGCACAATGTTTATTAAGCACTAAATAAATGTAGTAGTAGAAAATCAATAAAACTTTATAAAAAAAAAGATTATAGAGCCCTAATTTGAAAACTATGTAAGTATTTTTCCTTTTCTTCCCTTTAAATTATATACAATCTTATATGATGTAGGGTAAAAAGCTTGCACACTCTTTGGTGAACTTGAGTTGAAGTAATAGAGGTATTAGCCAATACAGATGTAGAATTTCTAATATTTTAAAAATATGGTTGAAGTTCAGAAGTTAAATGAATCATGAGTCATGTTTCTTGTTCACCTTGCATGGATGGCTCCCGTGCTATATGATTATCATGCAGATCTGGGATGTTCACAAGTCACTCAATAAAATCTTCCCTTTCCTTAAATTGAGGAAATATATCTTCAAACATAAATAGCAGATGGTTGAGAAACAGGATAACAGAAGTCAGAAAGAATAAAATCTATTTCTATCTTATCCAAAATAATATTTCACATATGGTATTCACTGACCTCCCTTCAGCTGCTGTTTATATTAGACAACCATCTTAGAATTGAGCAGAGTGATTTAAAAATATGTTTTGTAATTATTCTGTTCAGAGATTGACAAATATGTTCAAAACCTTATAGTCACAAGGTTGAAAATGTGGAAAAGGATTTGTAATAAATAATGATTTTAGATATCCGTGAAACTTAAATCATACCAAAATATAAGAGACAGTTTCAAGAATAATTCACAGATATAATCAGGATAATGTTTTTGAAATCTGACACAAACTGAATAGTTTTAACATGTTTAGCTCCCAAAAGGTCTTTAAGTTACTTGTATTTCAAGACAATTAGCCGATATTTTCAAAACTAAAAGGTGAAGATGAAGATGGCAGTAGGATTCACATAAAGAAACAGATATGTATACCAAGAGGCTTTTTTTTTCATCAAATCTTACAGTTAAAACACATAAATGTGCTGGTATGCACTATATACACTATATATGGCCAAACAACTGTGGCCTCTAATTATGCAATAAGTTTTTA